ATGCCTTCACCGTCCTCGCCCCCGACGATGTTGAAGCCCAGGCCCGTGGAGCCGCGGTGAATGACGATCCGCCTCGGTTCTCGGGGAATGTCTTCCTCCCCCAGCAGGTCCTTGGCCACCGGGGAGTAGCGCCGGGGGGACGTGGGGGTCATGGCTGTGGGGTAGTCCGTGCCCAGGTAGCTGCTGTGGCTCATCTCGTTGTCCAGGTGCTGGGAGTAAGCTGAGGGGAGACGCGGGACAAAGGGTGACACAGAAATGCATGGGCTAGACAGCACCCACCACCCCCTGCTCCCGGGAACCAGGGGAGCCCGACTCGGTGAAGGGGAAATGATTCGGGCAGATACACAGGGGGGTGGGGGGATCAGATTGCAGCGGTGCCGGGGCAGGAATTCACAGGTGTCCCGGGCTGGTTCTCCTAGGACCTAGGGGGCCATGGGTGTGCGGTGACATGTCCTAGGAGTGAAGGACGGTGGGGTCAAGGGGAATATTAACCCCAGGCTCTTGGGGTTTTCTTTCAGTTGCAGAATCTCTTCGTCTAGAACATTCCTCTCCCTCTTTTCTTTTCCTCCTGGCCATCCATTTGAGAAAAACAAGGTCATTGTCTAACAGAGGTCCCCTCGTCCTGTCAGGAAAATCTCATAGGGCAATCGCTGCTGCACCCCATGGTGCGGACATGAGCCCCTGCCCGGTATCGCCTGCAAACTGGTCATTCAGACGAGAGACTCAGATTCAAGTTCAACTTTTTAGCAAGAACCCTTCCAAGATGGTGCTGTGTACTTTCCACTGCACGTGACAGGGCCACGTGTCCTGTTGTCTCTCCGTTAGTAGACCAGCCGGCAGGCTCCGGGGATTCAGCATCCCGCCTCAGAGTGTCCGCAGCCCCGGTGAGGGTGTCCTGATTCTAAGGTGTCACGGGGGATAGCAATATGGTGACGTCCTACTGTCTTTACTTTTTTCTTTTTCTTTCTTTTGTGGGAGGGGCATTTATTAGTGGGAATCACTCTATAAAAAAAAAAAAATAACTATCGCACAGCTGGCTTGGCTCGGTGGTTGAGCGTCAACCTGTGAACCAGGAGGTTGCGGTTAGGTTTCCAGTCGGGGAAGAGATTAACCAAAGAACATACGTATATGCATGTATTCATAACCCACAGACACAGACAACAGTGTAGGAAAGGCCTGGGGTGGGGCAGGGGTGGGTGGAAGGGGGCAAAGGGGGGTGTAACACTGTCAACAATAAAATAAATAAGTAAATAAAACAGAACTGTCCCATGTTAACCATGTGGTTACCCTAAGGTGCAGTTGCTCCAGAGGGAGAACAAATGCCTGACTTTCCCCTTATTTGCCAGTTTTCCGAATGAATGGGTCCCGAACCTCCTCCAAAGGCACCTCTTGAAGCGCCAGCGTGATCTCACGGACTTTCACACATTCAATGCGTTTTCGTTAAATGGCCAACAGAGCCCCTGCATGTGGCTCCTGAGTCTTCGACGCGGCCCCTGGCCGTCTCAGACACCCCCGCTTTCTAGTACGAAAGCTGTTGTGAGCTCCTCGTCTACATTTCTTGCCCAAGCTTTGGAATCGGCCCTTCCTCCAAGAAGCCAGGGTTCCTGGTAGGCCATGGTGTTGAGAAATGCTACCACACGATTTTAATAGCGTGTTACAATATGGCTTCAGATGTGGTAGGATCAGTCATGCCTCATTATTCTTTTCCAAAAATTTCTTATTCTCCCAAATGTATTTTTCCCGTTGAACTTTAGAATCAACCTGCCAAGTTCCCAGGGAAGGAGGGGGAGAACATTAAAATTCTGACTAGGATTGCATAAAATGCATAGGCTAATTTGGAGAGGGCTGAAATCTTTAACATAACAAGTTTTTCCATTCAGAAACATGGTGCGACTCTCCATTTTCTAAGTCTTCTTTTGTGTCCTTCAGTAAAGGGTACTCATTTTCTCCAGAAAAATCTTATACACTTCTGGTCGTCAAGTTCATATTTCTAAGAATGTTACAAAATTTTTTCTATGGTAAAAGGAACCTTTTTACCCATTACATATTCTTTTTTTTTTAAATGTTTTTTGGGTTTTTTTTTTGTTGTTTTTTTTTTTAAATATATTTTATTGATTTTTTACAGAGAGGAAGGGAGAGAGATAGATAGCCAGAAACATCGATGGGAGAGAAACATCGATCAGCTGCCTCCTGCACATCTCCCACTGGGGATGTGCCCGCAACCCAGGCACATGCCCTTGACCGGAATCGAACCTGGGACCTTTCAGTCCGCAGGCCGACGCTCTATCCACTGAGCCAAACCGGTTTCGGCCCCATTACATATTCTTATTGCTGGGAAGTTACTAATTCTTGTCATTTATCTTACATATGGCCACATTCTTAAACTTCCATATTATTTCTACATTTTTTGGATTTTAATATCAACAGACAATAGCATAGTTTATAAATAAGGACAAATTTGTTTTTCCCTTTTCAAGTGGAACCTCTATCATCCTGGCCGAGTAGCTCAGTTGGTTAGATCATCTTCCTGTTAACGCCAAGGTTTCAAGTTTGATCTCCGGACAGGGCACATACAAGATCAAACAATGAATGCATATATAAGTGGAACAACACATCAATGTTTCTCTCTCTCTCTCCCCCTTCCTCCCTCTCTCTAAAATCAATCATTTTTTGCCCTGACTGGTTTGGCTCAGTGGATAGAGTGTCGGGCTGCGGACTGAAAGGTCCCAGGTTCGATTCTGGTCAAGGGCATGTACCTTGGTCGCAGGCACATCCCCAGTAGGAGGTGTGCAGGAGGCAGCTGATCGATGTTTCTCTCTCGTCGATGTTTCTAACTCTCTATCTCTCTCCCCTCCTCTCTGTAAAAAATCAATAAAATATATATTTTTTAAAAAATAAAATAAAATAAAAATAAATAAATAAATAAATAAAATCATTTTTTTAATGTCTCAAATGTAACATCTATTTATTCTTCTTGCCTTCCTACATTGCCTGGAATCTCTAACGCTGTGATTCTCAAGCAGGGTAATGTTGCTTCCCAGGGGCACTTGGCAATGTCTAAAGACATTTTTGGTTGTTCTATCATCATCTGATAGAAGCCAGGGATGCTATTAAACATCCTGCAACGCACAAAACAACCCAGCAACAAAGAACCACCGAGTCCAGAATGTCAACAGTACCAACGCTGAGAAAGCCTGCTCTCCAAGCAATGCAGAGTGACAGCAGCAATAGAGACGTCCCTGCGTAGTTACCGACTGGACGGACACACTAAGGTTCATCATTAGGAGGCGTTTGTTGTTGGATTCTGAAAACTACTCTTCACCACATTAAGGAAAATTCCTGCTCCTTGTTCACTAAGTTTTCATCTGAAAACAGATATGGAATGCCACCAAATGCCTTTCGCACATCTATCTGAAATGACCCTGCAGTCTTCCTCTCTTAACTTTTTAATACAATGAATAACATTAAGAGGTTTCCTGATATGGAACCACCTTTCTGAAACAAACCCTACTTTGTGACAACCTAGTCTCTTCATATGCTCCTGTGTCTGGTTTGCGACTCTGTTATTATAAACTTTTACATCGCTATTCGGAACAAAATTGGCCTGTGTTGCTTTTACATTATCTTGGTGACCATTGGAACTGCCCTTATAAAATGAAATGTGACGTTTTTATCTTTCCCCATACTCAGAGAGAGCATAAGAATAATCCATTCCTTGAGGGTTTGATAAAATTAGCCATAAAACCATCTGGGCCTTGTGCCTTCTGGGGGAGAGACTTTTGACAATATCTTTTAGTTCTTCCACGGTGACAAATTTCCCATACACTCTCCAACCACAGGAAGTGACAGCAGCTATTTCACGGGGAGCATCTAAGGAGGAACAGTGACCAGAATGCCGGGGGGAAATGGGGTGGATCGTGGGGAGCTCTGGGTTTGGAGGACGCTCACAGGTTGTGATGTCTGGGGGAGCATAGCTGTCACTCAGGTAGGCATTGCTGGGCTTGGCCACCTTTAGGTAGACGACATCATACGTGTTCTTCAGGGCTGCCACCGCGTCCTCATGCATGACGTCCTCCAGCCCCACGCTGTTGACCTGGGTCAAGGGAAGCAAAGCTCAGACAGAGCCAGAAGCAGCCTCAGGACAAAGGCACTAGGAGTGAGCTGGTCGCGAAGCCTAGGTCTGCTCGGGGCCACAGGCAGGACCCAAGCGAGGGGGGTCCTCACCGCCAAAATCTTGTCTCCAATCTGCAACCTCCCGTCCTTATGGGCGGCACCCCCTTCGATAATCTTGGTTACGTAGATGCTGTTGTCGCCAGGGATGTGCTGGTTCCCTACACCGCCTGCGATGCTGAAGCCAAGACCTAGACGAGGGAAGGGCAGAGGTGGGGGTCTGGGAAGCAAGCCTGGGGCGGGGGGCCAGGGATACAGGGCTGGAGACACAGGGGTGACTACCTTTAGGCCCCTTGATGAGCTTGATCTCCATGAGTTTCTCAGCAGGGGGCTTCCGGCGCATGACGTAGAGGCGGACTATGGAGCCGGCCTCTTTGAGGGCCTCCACCGCCGCCGAGTGGGTCACCTCCCGCACGTCCACTTCATTTACAAACAAGATGCTATCGTTGACCCTGAGGGCAGCAAGGTGGGCCTGAGCCAGGCGCTTCCTGCCACCCCGGTCCTCCCTTTGGAGGGAACCCGCATCCGAGCCCCCGTCTCCTCTCCGCACCTGAGGCGGCCGTCCTGGGCTGCGGCCCCACCAGGAATGATCTTGGTGATGAAAATGGATGGGTCGTCACCAATGTGTGGGTTGTCGGTGCCACCTGCGATGCTGAAGCCCAGACCTGAGTTACCCTGGGCAGAAGGAGGGGGGAGAAGGTTAGCTCCCCTGGCTGTCCACTCTTGGCAAAGCAAGTGGGGAGCTGTGACCAGCGCCGGAAGGGTCAGGGTGAGGAGGCTGGCCACCCGGAGAGCCGCACAGACAGGGAGCCGGCTCACCCTTTCCAATGTGATCTCCTCGTATTCCATCTCCCCCTCGGTCCCGTTCACCTGCAACTCCAGCACGGGCCAGAAACACAGACAGTGAGACAGACATTCCCACCTGAGGACCTGCCCCCCACACACGGCTGGAGCCCAGGCCACCCCGCTCCTTCCTTCTGCATCGGCCCCAAACTCTAAACAACTCACATATCCCGGGGCTTCTAGGGTGTCTGTGTTGACAATCACGGGGGGAGAATTGGCCTGTGAGGGGGGAAGGAGATGAAAAGCTGCCTGAGCCTTGGCTCAAGAGGGAGTCAGTCCGTAAGAAAGAGTCCGGCCAGCCCGGCTACCCTCCCAGCCTCTTAACCAAGCTCCTCTGCTACCCTTCGAGTCCCTCAAGGACCCAGCCTCTGTCCACATCACACTCACACACATGCACACGTGCACACGCTCCACTCTGCCCAGCCCAGGCCCCTGCGTGGAGAAGATGTTTCAGAAGCCGGAAGGGAGAGGCAGCCAGCCGGGGAGCAGCAGATGGCACAGAGGGGGGAGGGGGCGGCTGGGGGAGCCTCTCACCGGATGTAACACCACCGGGTGTTCCATGCCTATGTGCTACACACGTAAACCCCGGGGCTGATGTCCGCCAGGGCCTGCTCCCACTCCGTGACCCGTCCCTGTCCGCCCACATACACCCTGACACCTCCACCACCCGCCCTCAGATGGACCCTCACCTTTACGCACATTTGCCCCCAGCCCTCGCCCAGCGGAACCCAGGGTCCCCCAGATGCAGGCCCCTCCCGCCTGCCCACCGGCCGTCTAATCCACTCTTTCCTCGGGGACATGGTTGCCTAGCAAGAGTATCTAAGCGCCGCCAAGGCCAGGGGAGACCCACCTCCAGGAGGCCCTGTTGTCAAGACAACAGGAGGGGTGGGCGTGGCCTAGGGGCGCCCAGGCTCCCCACGCAGCAGGGATCAGCCGGCCCCGCCCCTCCTGCTCTGGCCCCGCCCCCGCCAGCCGGGCCGGGAGCGGTCCGGGCTGCAGAGGTTCCAGGAGCAGCGCATTCTGCATCACCTCCCTCCTCTGCGCCCCTCACCCTACAGTGCAAAGGACGTCAGGAGGGGAAGTGGTAAAGACATCCGGGTCCTGTCCTCTCATCTATTCCTTTCCCCCCCTAACCCCCCCCCCCCCCGCCGCCGCTTTATTTAAAAAAAAGATTAAAATGGGGCGGGCTAAGTCCCCTGGTAGTCTAGGGCCTCTAAAAGAACAGGTCTCTTAAACTCCGGGTGGGGCCAGCTTTAGGCCGACCTAGGGCTTCCCCATT